GTGATGAGAGTTAACGTTACAGAAAAGGACACTGTCGTAGTTTAGTCACTGTAAACACCGACTCAACGCTCATTTAAAACACGTAAAAAATATTTCTACATGTCAGCTAATTTTATGCGGCATTGGCTTGAGTTTTAGCCGCTGTCTCTGGTTTCATCCTCCGCCTTTGTCCTCATGTTTTCCACCGGAGTTCCTCCCCCTGCGGCGCTGGGCGGAGTTTCATACCGGACTAGACGCTCCTTTTGTCGGATTCGTTTCTACCTGGCTCCCCGGGGTTTATGGCTAAAAAAAACACACTTTGAAAGTCCAGAAATAATCCAAACGACCATAGTGGTGTGCAGTAATAACCCGGGGTTCTGTCTGAATCAAAAGGTAAGTAGCAAGTTTTGTTTTTAAACAGATTTCTGGGGTTTTCTGGTCGTTTGTCCCCGAGTCTCTTGAACATTCATGGCGGCTTCGCAGTGAAGGCTTCTGGGGAAGCAGCAAGCACTCATCCCGCTCAGCACCGAAATAATCAAATATTAGGGGTTTGGCAGTTGTATTACTGCACCAATCCATCATTTCGCCATTATATTTTTATTATTTTACTACGAAAACACATATCGACGAATTTGATCATTTTAGCAGGTTTGCTAAATAATGAGATTATCAAGCTACACATGTCACGCTGGTATTTTAAAAATATTTTAGTGTTTGTATTTTCAAAGCTTTACTCCAAGTTTCCACATTTAACCAAAGACGGGTAACGTTAGCTCGTCTCGAGTAGCTCTTTGCGTGTCAGCGGAAGCTACGTGGTGACTCCTGCCGAAAGACGGGCGCCATTGCTGGGGCAGCTGGAGCCTGACGGCCCGCTGCTTTCGGTTAAACGTTCCTGCTAACGGACACGTTCAGAAGCCAATTTGAAATCCTCGTTTTAACAGAAAAGAGCGTTAGATATTTAAAAAAGGATGTATATTGAAACGGGGCGGCGACACATTTAGGTAATTTCGGCACGTAAACAATAAACCAGACAACAGTTTCCCCAAAATCCTACAGTGACTCCGGTTTGCTCTCTGCCGCCCTCCGTGTTTTGTTTTTTTAATTACAAACAGCAGTTTATTTTTTCACTCAATTGTGAATTTAAGATTAGTGCCGAATTGAAATGCTGCTCGTGAAGAGTTGCGAAATTTGTTTGCATTAACTGTATATTTGCATATAGGCACATTTGCCTTAAAGTGACGCACTTTTCAGTGGAGTTTGGCGAAACGTACTAGTTCTCTCTGTTGCACTTGTAACTGTTTTGTTTTTTTTTTTGTTTTTTTTTGAGTAATAGCAGTTCATCTGTTAACACCGTTTATCATTAAACAAAGATCATGTTTACACTTGAAACTAAAACATTCCGCATGTTACACCAGAAGTTGCGAAACTAAACGCCAGAACTTTGCCCCGCAGTTTGACCTTGTCAGCGGGGACGCAGCGCAGCTGGGGGACGGTTACCTCGGCCGGTGTTCTGTCAGATGTTGCTGCTTATCGGTAGCGCGACCTACCGTTCACAAAGTAGCTTTAGGGTGGATGGGGTGGGGTTAGCAATCCATCTCGGTAAGGGAGAAAAATTTGGCAGAACCCTGGCAAGTGAGGGCCAACAGGGGCGGACAGGAGCTGATTGATCAACCAATCTGTGATCTAATAACATCCCGCCCTTCTTTTGGTGAATGGAAAACCTTAGAAACGTGTGAGGACAGTGGAATCTGGACAACAACCAAAACCCTGCCAACTCAAGCTTGTAATTGATGATTGGTCCTCATGGATGAAATATCCCTCTCTGAAGCGAAGCTCCCGTGACGTGGTTGAAAGCACCCACAAAAGGCAGTAAGTGAGCCTTGAGTTGGGATTTATTGTTTCCAAGGTTAGAAACTAACCGATGCTTAATAAATATTTAGTTGAATGAAGAACAAGAACCGATCCCGGACCGAAAACTGCTGATGTCCATACGTATGAGCTTAAAATCCGTTAACACGTCGACCAGGAGGAATTTTCTTAACATAAATATTTTCTGTGTAGAAAAAGACCTGTCTGAGCCTCGGCTGACAGGCCGCTTACAAATGTCTGCCGACCGTCACCTGGCTCAAGTGTTCTATCTGTCCACTATAAATAAAGCTGTTTTACCTGTGTGTGCTTAGCAGTGGGCTGAGGCGGAGTCTTCTCCGTCAGGTGCTGCATGATGAACGGCAGCAGCAGTGTCTCCACGGCTCAGGGCGCCAGGATCAAGAGCGAGCCAGGTAAGGTAACAGACCACCTGCTGTGGCCTCATCATCACCTGACACCTGGTGTCTGTGGGGTTGTCAGAGTAGCACTTATGAAAAACCATGGTTTGTGGTCCTGATCGAGGCCAGAGATGAGCTGTATTAAAACCCTCAGACATTTTGAACCAGATTTGATGCTGCCATGAGTCATGACTACAAACCAACCAACCTGTTGTTCATTGTAGTCAGTTTATTAGGAACACCCAGATCAAACTAGATCTGATCCAACAGCCCTCCCGTAAATCCTCCCTCTAAGTTTAACCTTTATTTTCTGTATTTTTCTAGTGACCCGACTAAATGGTTTTATCTTGATATTCTGATGTAAAGCACTGTGTAACTCTTGAAATGTGCTGTACAAATAAAATTTATTGTTATTCTTATTTTGTTGACATATCAGTGAGGCTAATCCCAGAACCAGTTCTCAGCATAAGCCAGTCTAGGTGAACAGCAGCACAACCCTAACCTCCACAGTAACCACACTGGTGAACCAACACCTCTGTGAAACAGTCTGAACACAGATTGAACATCGTCATCTTCATGAAGGAGGGTTTACTGCAGCACTGTTGGATCAGACTGACTTAGATTAACTCAAGGGTTCCTAACAAACTGGCCACTGAGTGTGCGCGCACAGGCAGAAGCCCCACTATTGTGTGCATTAATTTAGAATACATTTAAAAACAGAACGGTTTCATCTCCTGGAATAAAACCTGGCAACCCGGATCTGTTCTAAACATGAGGTTGGTGCAGGTGGATCAGTCATATGTCTTTGAAATCGACCAATCAGATCCTTGCATTCAACATGTAAAGCTGGCTAACACTCACACAGTTGGAGGGGCTTCATGCAGTCTGACCCAGACCGAGACTAGGGGTGTATCTCAAGTCTCTTATAAGATGGTTCCTACATCCTACATCTGAAGAACTTCCGGATCTCTTATATAAGCTCTGAGGAGCAAGGAGGTTGCCTCAGGAGCCACGAGTGAAGACACGGGAGAGAGAGCTTCTTTCACGGAGGTTGTTATGAATCGATACACTCACTTATCAGAAATCATCTGGATGCTTCAGATGAGGGATCATAGGAAAGGATGTCTCATGTTGTTAATAATGTGCTTCCTTGAGTCCTCTCTCCTCGCAGTTTGTCCTTGCATCTTACATGAGCACGACTAAGACACTAGGAAAAGATGCAAGTGAGGGAAACAAGGACCCATATAAATGACTTGATAAACACCCTAGGGGGGAATCCTAATTCCTCTAATTGCATCCACGTTTCCTTCACTTGCATCTTTTCCTTTGTCCCACCTACGTAACATGCAAGGAGAGAGGAACTGAGGAAACATGTTACTAACGAGAGGAGACGCCCTTTCCTCCGATTCTTCATGAGAATTGTCCAGTCACCAGCTGATTTCTGATAAAGGGATGTGTCACTCCATAACAGCCCTCTGTGAAGGATGCACTCCATATCCTTGGTTAAAGCTTCTCTAGCAGCCTTCTCGCTCCTCTGAGCAGAAAGAAGAGCTTTGGGAGGTCCTTCATCATGGCGGACCAGAACAACTTCCGGGTTGAGCAAGGACAGATAAAATAAGAGAATTGGAATTTAGCTTAGGACTTCACTGGACGAGCTCACATGTTGTTGTTACCTGCAGTACCTGCCAGGTGTGTTTGTGTGTCTGCAGATGAGTGGAGTAAGGAGGACTGTCTGACTCTGCTCGAGAGGATCCGCAGTCTGCTGCCGGACGGAGACGCCATGAAATATAAAACCACAGAGTCTCACTTCGACTGGGAGAAAGTTTGTTTCGGCAGCTTCACTGGAGACATGTGCCGCCAGAAGTGGCAGAAAGTCTCGTCTGAGGTACGGCGTCAGTCAGAAGCTCAGATAATGTGAAAGTCATGTATTTATATCTGAAAAACCTTTTTTTTTTAAGGTGGAAATGCAGAGGGTTCTTACCACCCCAAACCCTGAAACTGTTCAGATAACATGTTAAAATTAGTTAGTTACTTATTAACCCCGAATTTCGGGTTAATTTAAATAAAAATTGAGGTCCTCATAAGGAACAAATTAAGGTTTACCTGTAATGTTGTTTTGTAAGCCTTAATGTTTTTTTTTCATCCCTTTTGAACCCCCTTAATATATTAGTCCATGATAAAGTGGAAGCCATCCCATAATTTACACTTTTAAAAGACTTGAAGTTTCTAATGAAGCAGAACATGTAGGGACTCTCCTGCTGCTTAGTTAAGTTACAAACGCCGTCATCTCTGTAGAAAAAAGTAAAATCACTTAATATGTCCTAGTCCACATGTGTTTCCATTAATTTGTTCAAATCTTGTGAATTCGTTGAATAAGAATTTCCTAAATTAACCATTGAAATATTTGGGTTAATACCCTGGGTTTGCAGTTAAAATGAAGTTCTTATGGTACAAATAAAGGAGTACCCTTAATGAGATTTTGCATGTTTTAATCAGTTTTCTTCTATTTACAATATCTTATTTTCTACAGAAAACCCATTACTGATTTTTCTGCATTGTTTGCACTGTTTGCTGATGTTAATACTGCTATTTTGTTATATTACACAGCCTTATGCTGGTTTTCTTTTTGCACATTGAGAGCCGATGTATCAGTCAAATTCCTCGTGTTCGTCACACCTGGCCAATAAAGCTGATTCTGATTGTGAAAATCTAGAGATGCACTGATTGATGGGCGGAGACCAGAAACAGCCGTTTCAGCGTGTCTGGCCTTGGCCAGTGACCGGTCAGTCACACTGAGATTTCCGACTTTGTGCCGATCAGATTTAGAGGCACGACAGTCCATATGCTCAGTAGTAACAGGCGTTCTTTTTTTTCCGTTAGCCATTGCACCTGTTTATATTTGGAGAAGTACAAATGCTGCACTTCATTTTTAGTTGGAGGATTGTTAAAAAAAAAAAGTAAAGTCACGTCTGTCCCACTCTTATCAACGCAGTACCTCAGGAATACCTTGAAAGAGTTTCTTGAAATTTGGCTCAAATGTCCACTTGGACAATGAAACAGTCAGATTTTGGTCAAAGGTCGAGGTCAGTGACATCACTTCTGACCCACACCTGTGAATTTGACTGGTTGGCGGGGCCATACATCTGCAAAGTCGTAACTCTAGTTTTAAGATTTATTGATATAAGGTGAATTTTTGTTTATATAGAATGGTGCATTAGAGGAAAGATTATATATTAGTGTATATACTATAATGAAATATTCAGTGAAATGGCAAAGATGACCTTTTAAAAACTAGCAAAGAAATAATACTAGCGAATTCTTTAAACACTTAGGGCATCTTGGCTACTTAACCTTTGTGCTTCCCCAGGTTGGGTGTGCTGCACACAGTGAATTCACATCCAAACAGCAGTTTTTCGCACTCAGTGCATCTTCCCTCATCTCGCCCTCCATGTTCTTGTGTTTCAGGTTCGCAAGTACAGAACGATGACGGAGCTCATCATGGACGCCATCGAGTTCGTAAAGAACCCGTACAAAGGAAAGAAACTGAAGGTGAGATTTACTAAACCAAGCTGGTCCTTAGCAAAGTAGGTCACCATCCAAATAACTGGTTATTGACCAGCTGCTTGTTCAGTTGGAGCAGCCAGCCAGTAACAGCAGTGACTTTGTGTGCAGGATTTCATTCAGCACAGTGAATATATGACTAAGAAGCAGCTGCATTCAACTGTTTGTGGACTAACAGTTGCACTACAATAAAGAAATGGATTACTGATAATTTGTGCTTTTATGTGTCAAGATGAACAAACTTTTAATGAATAAATATTAACAGGCAGGACATTATCAGTTCAGACTGACTACGTCACTGTGGCTGAAGCTGAAACTTTTATTCTGCAAGATATACAGTCGAAATAAAAAATGCAAAACTGAACCATGGAGATTGATACAATAGACATTGCCACAAATTAAGACTAAAATACTAAAATAAAAGTAACTGGAAAACTAAAATTACATATAAATACAGAACAACTAAAGGAAAATGAGTAATGCAGATGTGATCAGATGTTTAGAGTTGTTGCAGCAGAAAAAGCACAGGTGTAGCTAACAACATTAATAACGGCTGAGGTCTATTAAGTGTCCCACTAAACAACACCACTCAGCAAGCACGCACAACGCCACGATCCTGGAACTGGCTCACATAAATGGAATGCCACCATTGTGAGTGTTGTCAGTTACACCTGTGCTTTTCCTACTATGAACATGTCAAAATGTCTGCTGTGAAAAAGTTCTGTGGGTGTAGACACAAGGGCTTGGAGCACAGGTCGGACCGCTCCTGGATTTCTTCGTATGAGAACATTCTCTGAAGTCTCTTGTATGTGCTGCTGAAGAAGAAGCCTGTTCATACAAATGTGTTGACACTGCGACTCTCAGCACCATACAAGCTTCAGAGCTTCACGGTCAAGAATAGTGTCCTGTTTGACATAAAGGCAGGTGAGGACCACAAACATATGTGTGTCAGCAGATGTGATCAGAGAACTCTTGTGCAAATGTAACTAAAAGACGGTGAAAAGTGGCAAGAACGTACTGTATATGTATAAAGAAATGTGAGAAAGGGCCAGTTTGTTACCGGTCCACA